AGGCTCTTCACAACAGATATATATATATAAAAAAAATCTGATTGGTTATACTATATGACAAATAACGCTTTGTTTATTTTGTATTTTCCCCTTAGCCATTGATACTCAGAACCAGTGGCTGGGACGAGGGAACCCTCTCACTTGGTCCTTTCTGCTTGAACAGCTCTGCTACGTCTAGGATGCTGCCTTGTGTTGACAAAACTCTTTCTAGGCTGCAGTCACAGCTCAGCTCCTGATCCCATCCTCAGGGTGTGGCTTTGGCGTCTGTTCCTGTGAGTCTGGCAGAGGAAGCTGGCTGAGTGCATCGCCAGCCAATCACACTCCGCCTGATGCTTTCCCAATGCTGGCAGTGGGGAGAGGAGAGAGGTGAGAAGGGGCCTCCTTGTCCCTGAGCGTGATCCCCCATTACTTCTTCTCCTCGTGTTCTTGCTCAAGGAACCCTCCTGTCCACAAGTTTGGGTGAAAACCAGACAGGTGCCCTGCAATAATAAGCTATTGATAAATACATATTTACATAGTTTCTATCAGAAACTGACTATACATGGGAGAAAACAAAAGGACAGAAAGTAGGTATGTAACATCTGCACACATTTTATATCGCACAGAAACACATTTTTCTTTGCTTTGAGACTGTCAATATACTGTATATGGCACTACACTGAGAGCCAGGACACCAGGGATTTAGCCTTAGTTTTGCTACTATGTGTCTATATGATCTTGGGAAAGTTGTTTATGAAAATGGAATTTTTTTAAAATATGTTTTTATTGATTTCAGGGAGGAGGGGAGAGGGAGAGAGAGAGAGAGAAACATCAATAGTGACAGGGAATCCTTGATTGGCTGCCTCCTGCATGCCCCACACTGGGTGAAAATGGAATTATTAATACAGTAGTTGAGCAAGAGCGTTAAGGTCCTTGCAGCTCTGTGATAGGTAGGTCCTAGGCACAAGTCTTAAGGTTTTATGGAATTAAGATATCGCTTTCACTACAGGGTGGTGAAAATCTCATATTGTTCCAATAGGCTAGGTTTCAGTTCAATAAAACGTGTATTTATCAATAGTTTATTATTGCGAGGCACTATGCTGGGTGTTTCCTGGAAATAATAAGGTGAATTCCTAATATTAAAAATTGAATCAATGAAAAAAAAGCAATATTAAACCACTGTAATAGTAGTTAAACATGAACGTATCACAAAGACATGCCAACATGAAACTGAAATCTAGTATTTCAAAATAAGCTAAAAGGAATTGAAAAAAATGTAAAAACTGGGAGGGAACAACACAAATCAGAATCGGGAAAGAATCAGAAGCAATGTAATTTGTGAATAGAAAAAGATGTGAACAGAATCCAGGAATTAAAAATAAAAGAGAAAGTAATTTCAGAAATCAAGGCTAGACCAGGAAGGACAGGAGAGTGAAAAAACACAATGGATCATACCTTAAAATAAGTAGGACATGGAAAATAGAAAGCTGCCTTACATCTTTAAAAATGAATACTTATATTCATTTGAAATTCTAGAGTAGACAAAAGTGTTGTGATGTGAAAGCCATCAAAATACTGACTCAGGTGAGAAGGACTATTTTGAGGGAAGAGGAAGAGGGAATTTTCCGAGGTGATGCAGATATTCTTTATCTTGGGAGAGCCGAGGTTATGTAGACGTATGCATTCACCAAAACTAATCAAATTCTAACACTAAATATGTATGCATTTAGTGTACTAAAATATTTTGAAAAAAGTGATAAATGTAGAATAAAGACAAAGAAAGCACAATATGCACATAAAAGGAGAACTTAGAGAAGAAAATAACTAATGGATAAGTACAAGTACTAAAACGATGATTTCTATAAAGCTTCCTGGATATTCATGGAGAAAGGGTACCATAATTACCTAGAAAAACCGACTCTGTATGACCAACCAAAGTATCAATTATAGTAAATCTGCAAAACTTTAAAGAAAAACAAACAAACATAAAAACAAAAATACCCCACTTTGGTTATTTGGGGTTGGGGGGACCCCAAAAAAACCTGTGTCACTAAAAAGGGTAAGAAAATCAGATTTTTATCAGACTTGTAAACAAAAAACTTTATAACAAGCCAATAAAGTAAAGTACTGAAGAGACCCAAGGCATTAAAGTGTGAGTCAAGTTTTTATATCTAGTCAAAATGATCTTCAAGGCTATATGTAAGCTGATGTGAAAGAACTGAAGGAATATTATTCAGATGTGGTTTTCCTGTGGAATCTAAATGAATATAAACTACAATCAAAATGACCAAAGAGATGCTACATAGGACAGGTGGTTTTTAATGCCTACTAGTATGACAAAAAGAAAGACAATGGACACTATATTATGCCTTCTGATGGAAATTCATGCCATCACCCATGAAATCTTCCTGCCAAAGTAAACAAAACAAAATACAATGTTGTTTTAACCAAATATTTTATATAACTATCAATTATAGGAAATTCAGAGGAAAAAGGAACATGTCAAGTGACATCATGGGTGTATGCAACCAAGTAAATTCCAGAATGTGGAGAGCTCTACAGGAAAAATAACCCAGACATTGTGAGGATTAAGAAACAAAGTGAGAGAGAGAAAGAGTCTATAGGTTAAATAGATGTAAAAGACATAGTAATTATATGTATGTGTGTGTATATAAAGATATATATATCTATATATATATATATATATCCTATTTTTAAAAAATTCAAACAAATGAACTGAGATTTTTCATGTGGATATAGGTTTGTACATGTACATACATATACATTCATATATATGTACACACAAACATGTATACATACATATTTATACAGAAATGTCTCTAGATTTATACATATATCCTTATACATTTCTATATTAAGACATTGAAGAAATGGCATTGCTGGTGGATAGCTGATGACACTAATAAATAGTTCCTATAATTTATTTAGATATTGTTAATTTTGAGAGTATATAATGAGAATTAAAAGAAGAGCTACCTATTTTAAGAGTTTCATATTGAAGTGTTTACGGATAAAAACATGATATAATATCTGGATTTGTTTAAAAATCATCTGGATAAGGAGGGGGAGTGGGTAGGTAACAGAGAAAACAAGATTGGCCTTGGGTTAATAATCAGTCAAGTTGGTACCTTGGATCTATATATAATTCTCTTTATTTTCATATCTGCTCACAATTTTCTATAATAAAGTACTTTAAAAAAAATCAACAGGTACAGATGTGTAAGAAAAACATTCCAGGCAGAGGGAACATCATGAAATAAAGGCAAAGAGGCAGGGACATTGCAGGTTGCATTTAGGGAAATTCTAGGGGTAGGGAGCTGGGAGATAAAGTTGACGGAGGGGAGAAGCCTTACTTGGAGGATCTTGAGAGCCAATTACAGACACAACATTTACTTTAGTAAATGATGGGGATGTTGAAGAAAGGCTCCTTGAGTGGAATGTGATACTCATAGGTGGGTTTTCGGACAGTGCGGGGAATGGTTATAAAAGGAAGCACAGTAAACACTAGTGACCTGGCGCAATGAGGCACAGTGTACTCCTCTAATGCTCAGCTGGGTGCCCTGTAGGAACTTGTAGGGCAGTGGTTCTCAACCTTCTGGCCCTTTAAATACAGTTCCTCATGTTGTGACCCAACCATAAAATTATTTTCGTTGCTACTTCATAACTGTAATGTTGCTACTGTTATGAATCGTAATGTAAATATCTGATATGCTGGATGGTCTAAGGTGACTCCTGTGAAAGGGTCGTTTGACTGCCAAAGGGGTTGCGACCCACAGATTGAGAATCGCTGCTTTAGAGTGACATGAACTAACAAAGCACTAGTTATAATTCCTTTGTTTTATATATTTCATCTCTGACAAATGCGTCATAAAGAGGCAATCTGAGTAGCCACGTCAGTGGCTGGAAGAGTACACAACCAGCCCCCCCAATGCTTTTGACACCAGATAACAGAAGCCTTCCTGGGGGACAATGGTGCCTGGACACCCTTCTGGAAAGCACTGCTTCCACAGTGAGTGCTTCCCCTTTAACTGATGGATCCTGCAGGGGCAGGCAGGCAGGAAGGCAGGAAGTGATGAACTCAGGTGCACTGCCTGTCCCTCACTCAGTCATCTCAAGTACAACCACTCTTCCAGGCTGTGCGTGGTTCTCACTTTCCAGAAGACTGTGTTCTGTTTGGATCACCTGGGTGTGAGTTACACACTGGGTTTCTAACAGAGGTGGCTGTGTGGACTGAGGCCATCTCCAAAATGCCGAGGAAGAACTCCTGGCCAGGTGCATAGTACGCACTGCACAGCCCCCGTGACCTGGGCACACTGGGCTGCATCCTCTGAGAGTTAGGGCAGCTGGTGGCCTTGCTAGCTTGGGACTCGCCAAGTCTCACGAGTTGAGCACTAACCGCAGCTTATTCACAGAGAGCCTGAAGTTCTCTGATT